CGTCGACCAAGGGATCCGCGCCATCGCGACCCTCATTGGTGGAAGCTGCGTCGTCCACCAGAGGTTCCACGAGCTGCAAACCGTGATTCACGCCACGAACTTGGAAATGCAGGGGATTTTTTATGTTCGCTGGCTGTCGCGGGGCGATGCTGTTTCGAGACTTGTCGCTGTTCTGCCGGCTGCCATAGTGCTGCTCCACGAGAAAGACAGCACGACGTATCACCTGGTTACGAGCCTCAAATTTCATTTCTTTCTTTTTTTTCTCGCTCATGTCCTGAAGGAATTGAACGAGCTCAACAAGCAGTTTCAGCGACGATCGGTGAGCGTGTAATTAACGGTCCTCGGTTTTGAAATTTGCTCTAGTCCCGAATGTCAGTGATTAACATTGTGTTTGTGCGTGATGTCGCAGGTGGACATCACCCGTGTCATGGGGCAGGTGCAAAACACCTGCGCAAAGTTGAACGCGCGCTATGTGGAGTACGGGGTGAACTTCCCGAAGTGAAGACGGTACATTTCCGGGTCGTGTGGCAGCTGCCTGAAGCCAAATTTCAGATGAATTTTGTGCAGATGCTGTTGCCAGAGGCTGGGGCCTGTTTTATCCCGTAGAGAGATTTCTTCAGCTGGCAGACCCTGGGGTCTCCTTCCCCGTAGGTGTGCGGCTGTTCCACGAAAATTGTCGCATCGACCAGTGGATATAGAAATGCGTTCTTGACGTTGATCTGCCGCAGTGGTAGGTGCTTAGCGAGAGCAATGGCAAGCGCAATCCACACGGAAGTATGACGGCTGACGGGGGCGAAGGTCTGGTCGAAGTCGATGCCGTGGCGCTGGTCGTAGACGCGTACAACCCAGCGTGCCTTGAAACGTTCGATCGTTCCATCAGCGTTGGTTTCCAAGCGAAAAAACCATATGCCGTTTAGCACCCTCCTCCCCTTCACTGCCGCGTGATTGACTAGGACCCACGTGTCACCTAACTCCATCGCTTTCAGCTCCGCGTCCATAACTGCACGCCACTCCTTGGCATATGGGTCAATTAGGGCCTGGCGCGGATTCTTTGGTTCAACAGCGCTCGTGAGAGTGGAGACTGATGTGTAGAGGCCGAGCAACTGCAGTCCTGTGATTTTGGAGGCCCCTTCGACTTCCTGAATGGTGACTTCCACCACATCGTCATCGTCACTTTCGTGAGCAGGTGAGGCGTTGCTTGGCGGATCATGGCGGCGAGACGGTCATGGCGCCGGAGCTTCATCATCGTCATCGTCGTCATCATCGTCACGCGAGCAAGGCGGCACGCGAGGATGTTCGTCGTCGAGGTTGTGGTCAAGCGCTGCTGCTACTGCCTCGTCTTCCGGTGATGCAAAACTACGGCCGTTGCTGGCATAGGCGCGTGTGACGTTGCTGCGCTGATTGTCAACCCACTTCTGCAAGGTGAGTCGCTTGTAGAAGAGGATGTCACACGCAAGTACGATATTGTTGGTGTCGATGTTTAGGATCAGCCAGCCCTTGTACTCATGGCTGAGTCCTAGGTGGAGCCCCCAGCGTGCGCGATGAGGTGAATTTACCGATGGTGGCCAAAGTCGGTCGGTACTACACCACTCACCCCCAAACTCTCAGCATGGAAGTGTTTCCGCTTGTACCGGTCCACTTCATGTATGGGGAGAGGTTGCCACTGTTGGTCGTGGTGGAGAGGAGGTTGTGCAGGCGTGCGGTGTGGTTTCATGGCGTACGGCATTAGTTCATGAGGGCGCGCACTTTTGTCATAAGGGTGCAAATGTCGACATTGGCGATCCAAATGTAGCGTGAGTACGCGTCCACGAAGGTAAGCGTGTTGTTTTCGCCGTTGATGCATTCAAAGGTGATCACGATTTAGTCTCTGTACACTTTCTGCAGCTTCTTGTAGTGATTGGTGCTCAGCTCCAGTGAGAGATAAGCTTGGTGTGTGAGGGCAGCAGTGTGGCAGACGGTGCAGGTGGTAGGATGTGATGTACTAAGTGGTTTTGTGCCATCGGGGCGTAGCAGGGCTCCTGGGTGAAAGACTTTGGCGTGGAGAAAATTGTTGAGCGTTTGGAGCGAGTGGTGGCCGAGTCGCTAATGCCAGAGATCATCTTCTGTGCGAACTCCAGGGGTGCACAGATAGTGTGCGAGATATTCTGCTATTTCTGTTTTTCTCTTGCGGGAGGTCTAGCACGGGTCCCTCTTCTTCTCCTGGTTCTGCTCCGTTGTCTTGCTCCCCTGCTTCTAGTTTTGCTCCTGCCTTCCCTACAGCAGGTGCCATTGTAAGGTAGAGCACGAAGAAATTGCGGTCGGGGATGATATTGAGAGGAGCCCTGGTGCCTTCGATGAAGCGGGCGAACGGATCAGGGCAGGAGATTGTTCCAAGCGAGTCGCGGGGTGGAGTTGGTGGCACGTTCCCCTCCTCAATCTCCGACTAAGGGTCTACCCAGCGGTAAGGTGAGCGGGGTGATGTAGAAAGACGTCCGAGTGGGACAGTGACTCTAGGGGGAGGTCTTTCGGTAGCCATCTCCCTCTCTACTTCCTCCACTTCTTCCTGAGTAAAATCGCCTTCGGCGAGTTCCCGTCGTTCCAGTTCGCCCCATCCGCCAGTTCCCCATCCTTGAACGATGCCGGAGGTGCCAGTGGCAGAGCCCCATGTTGCTCCGGTGTTGTCGTCGTCTCCCCATGCACCGCGTCGCGCTGTCTCTTCTTCCCAGCCTGCCGCGATGCGTTCCTGGTATAGTTGTTCCTTCCATTCGTCTTTTCTTCTTCTTCCGTTACGCTAAGCTCTTCAGGTGCGTCAGGATCTTTCCACCGTCAATGTGGCGATAGACCTCGCAGGGATAAGGGCGTAGACGGTTCTCCTCGTCGAAGGTTGTGGCGTGTGCTTCTTCGAGGATCCAACAGTGTTTCGGTGTGCGGTGTTGGTCGCTCCTGCTCTTTTATGCTGAGGTTTTCGTCTCCGGTGCCGAAGATGCGATTAGAGATAACGGCTAGCTCCATCCCCATCATGCCTTCTGGCTCTGCCTCGGCGCTTTCTGCCTCTTGAATTGCCGCAAGGTCCCTCTCAACCTCCTCTGTGCGGCTTGCTGTGGGTGTGAAGCAGGTGGTGCATAGTCCGTCGGGGCCGGTTTGATGCAGATTTATCTCACGAGGGTGAAGGCTGCGGCAAATCCATGGTCGGCCATCTGGATGCTGCCATGGCTCCACGTTCATGTATGAAAATTCCAGCGAGACAAGACCGTAGTCTAGCTTCCGTTGTAGTAGTTATCTCCTCAGCGGCGACGAGCAACTTCCTGCTCCTCCCTTTCCTCCTCCCTCGCATGCATACCCGCTCCCTGGACCATGTCCTTGGCAGTCCAACTCCCTCCTCCCTCCAGCTCCTCAAGGACTCCATGAGGAGTTTCTCACCATTCAGCAGCATACCCCTTTCCTTGCCTCACTCTACCTTGACTTCCTCGGCTTTCCTGTCCTTAGCGCCTCCTCCTCTCCCACCATCTTCACTCCCACCACCTTCGAAGAAGGCCATCACCTGCCCTGTTGCTGACGAGTGGATTGTGGCGATCTTACTGGAGTGTGAGGCGTTCATTTGCAACGACTCCTTCGTCAACGTCTCCCTCCCTGCCGACGCCAACCTCGTTGCGGGCAAGTGGGTCTTTCGGGTGAAGCAACTGCCGGGTGAGGAGTCGGTCTACAAGGCGTGTTACTGCTCCAAGAGCTTCACTCAGACTTGGGTTGTGGATTCCTGGGCCATCTTCACTCCCACCACCAAGCCGCCCACTCTTCGTACCGTCCTCGACATAGGTGCGCGTGGCGGCATGGAAATCTGCTCCATGGGTGTCTCTAATGCATTCCTGTATGGTGACCTACATGAGCGCATCTTCCTGCCTTCCCAAAGGACATCGTCTGGCAGCTGCGTCAGCCGGTCTGTGGTTTGAAGCACGCTACATTCGAAGCTGTCTGCCACCTTGGGGTCCCTTGGCTTCTCTGCCTCTTACTCTAATGCCAGAGGAAGATGAAGCTGTCACTTCAGCATCATCTCAAGTGCAATGATCTTGGCGACCTATCGCACTACCTGGGGATGGCCATCAGTCGCGATCGCTCTACTCGCACCATCACCCTCTCCCAGTCCCACTACATCGGCCAGGTCTTGGAGAAGTTCGAGATGGCGCAGGCCAAGCCCGTGTCCACCCCTCTCCCCTTTGGTCACCAGCATGCCCCACCCACCTCCCCCTCCTCCTCCTCTCACCCTTATGACGAGCTCGTTGGGTCGTTGATGTACCGCAATGTAAAACAGTTAATAAATGATTGTATTCCTTAGAGTACATGGATACGGTAGCTAGGAAAGCTATACTTAAACCTTTTGTAATTCTGTCTTAATCATCATCTCTTTCAACAAGGTCATTACAAGACTTTACCGTCCAGGCCCTCAGATATCAGCGTAAAACACGCTGATTATGCTGATTTTGTAGCTGTGATTTTCGTTTTCCCTGAAATTTCAGTATCTTCTTTATATTTGCACTGATTTTTCAGTTTGAAGTATAGGACTACCCTGACGAATTAGTGTATAGGTGTACCAGTGACACTGAACCATCAGTATAGTGTACTGAGTCACACTGATTCGGACTTACAAAAATGCCTAGGGTACAAGACATGGGGTGTGCGGACGTGGGAATAGGCCGTAAAACACCACCACGCACTAGTAAACCTCTCACTCACGGGACTTAAACCTGTGACCTCTCTAACAACAGGACGAAGCCTCAGACAGCTACGTTAAAAATACTGATTACAAAGTTCAAATTAAATTCCTACACTAATAAATCAGTTAACCATGAAATTTTACCCTGACAAAATCAGCATAACCTTCACCCCCAACGCTGATTTGGTCACTACTTTGGGCAGGGCACGCTGATCCATCAGCATGCCCTGAAACCAATCTGAGGGCCTGTTACCGTCTGTCTCACAACTTGACTAGCTTATCCAATCCACTACGACTCTTGGTTATATCAACACTACCTGAGCATGCTTTCACATGTGTACTCATCTTCGCATGTAGAAATCCTAAATCCTGTTCTCAGCCTCTCAATATCAATCGAAAACGAAGACTTTGGCGTTCCCATAAAAACATCAGCCAACGCACAGACAGCCTTGTCAAGTGTCGCTCGAAGCAACGCTTGGTTCTGGAACTGGAACGATTCAAGCACCCTCGCCCATGGCCGTCCCGTCAGGTCCTCTGGCAGTTGCACAATTTCCACTCCGGGCAGGTAACCCAGAATAACTCGTTCCAGCTGCCCCACCTCTTCCCCATCCGCATCCGTTGCAAGGAACACCGTGGATATATTCCCCGACCTAACCATCCTCTCGGTAATGCATCTCCCAGTGTTCTCCACAGTGAGAAACGCCAGAATTTTTTTGTACAGCAGCAAAAGATCTCCCCGTCGCCAGTGCACAGCCAGGTACCGCTGTGGCTGCCTCTGGTCCCTACCAGTGCCCATCTCACTGCTCACACTGCCCTGCTGCTGGGTTGCACCAGCCTCTGCCGCACTGCCCTTGCTGGGCCCTGCTGCAGCGACAGCAGTGGTGAAAGACACTGGGGCAGAATCGCTTGCTGCTGTGATGCCCTCTGGCATTGGGACGACAGGTGAAAAGGCAGTGGAGGAAGAGGAGGAAGGCGAAGACGAGGAGGGGGAGAAGGTAGGAGAGGGAGATGACGAGGAGGAGGACGAGGACAGGGAAGAGGAAGAGGAGGTGCTTGGCGGTTTCCAGATGACCTGCTGCACGAATCCCAAGGCTGCTTCCAGCACTGCTGGGTGCGGCTGCACTGCAAGTCGATTCGCACACTCACCACTCTTTGATCCACCACCACTACCACTACTCCCAAACGGCAGCCCCACACTCTTTGAGATGTTTCCCTGAAGGTTCCACTGGTAGGAGTCCCCAAACAGCACAACGTCAGCAGACGGCAGCAGCGAACTTCCCAAGGAGCGAAGATCCGAGAGAGTGAATAAGTGAGAAAGAGGCATGTTGAGAGCAGTCCATGTCATGTTGTGGTATATCACGCCCTCTAGCTCCGGGAGCAAGGAAGGCTTGTTCGTCCATGGCTGCATGTAGCATGCCTCATATGGACACAGTACCTGTTGCACCATCACTGCACCTTCCTCCTCATTCCTCTCCTCTTCTGTCTCCTGAGGCGCCTCAGAAACAGCAGCAGACCCTCCTGCAGACTCTGCCTCTTCTCTCCCACCACCTCCTGCATCTCTTTTACCTTGTCCTGCTTCTGCGCTCCTACTGCCCCCATTCACCGCTGCCCCCCGAACCTCCTCCCGAAGCTGGTGGAGCGGGATGGCGGAGCGTGGCCCGTAGCAGCGATGCAGGTGTGGCAGGTGCAGGAAGGTGCGGCGGTCGTAGAAGCGAGCGACTTCATCGGGCTTTAAGGGCACAACCAGCGTGCGGTTAAGCATGCCTGCTAGGAGCAGATGCCGCCGAATGCACCCTATGCGGTTGCTCACCTGAAGGAAGGTGGGGAAAAAGGGCATAGGTGAGGGAAGAGGTGCGGGTACGAGTGTGGGCATGGGCGTTGGTGTGGGTGTGGGTGTGGGTGGGAGTGTAGATGTGGACAGGTGGGGACAGCCAGACTAGATCAGATGCCATATATTTGGTCAGAACTCAGAAGGAAGAGAAGGGTGTGGGGAGGGAGAAGAGGGGAATGGTAGGGTTAAAAGGGGAGGCGAGAGCCTGGCGACGTATCGGAGCAACCCCACTCCGACCACATTGAACCTCAACCAACCCCATCCAACCCCACGCAGCCTCACTCAATCCCACCCACCCAGTCCAACCCCACTCAACCGCATCCAGCCCCACCTGGCTCCTCTGGCAGTCCATGAGAATGTACTTCCCAGGCTGAGGCACCCACGGAATGGAACCTTCCTGGAAGGCGCTCTCCCACAGCCAAGTGCGGAAGAGCTTGGGGTGGTCGTTGCAGCGGCCCTGCGCCTTGAGATTCTTGAGCTGCTGCTTCTTCTGCTCAAAGGATATGGCATAGACCCTGGAGGGATGGTGGGAAGAGTAGTGGGTGCGGGTGTTGGAGTGGTGTTTGAGCCGACTAAAAGTGCGCCTTGACTTGAGCGTCTTGAGCTGCTGCTGCTTGTGCTCGTAGGATATGGCTTGGCCCCTGGGTTGATGGTGGATAGGGTAGGAGCGGTAGTGGGCGTGGGAGTTGGAACCAGAGTGGAAGTGCAAGATGGGATGAGAAGGATATGACATTGTTTCTGAGTCGATTTCTGAGCCGAATCAGAGTGTGCCTTGAGCGACCTGAGCTGCTGCTACCTGTGCTCTAAGGATATGACACCGCGTCTGGGGAGGGGAGATGATGGGGAGCGTGGGAGTAGGCGTGGGCGTGGGCGTGGGCGTGGGCGTGGGAATGCCAGCCACCACACTAAAGTAGGCCAGGCCACATCGTTACAACACCCCTTATCATTGCAGTGGCAATAGGTCACCTCACCTGTGGCAGACACCCTTACCATTCTTGCCGAATCTCGATTCTAGCATCCGTTCCCTCCCCTTCCCCTCCTCTCACTCCGCCTCTCAACATTCCGCCACCTCTCTTCCCCCCAATTGCTCCCCCTGGCCTCCCTCTTTCCGCCACTCCAGAAACCCCCCCCTCAAGTTCCGCTTCCATCTCCCCCACTCGCCCGACCGTCTCCCCCTCGCCTTCTGCCCATGTCCGCGGATCCCTCTCGCCTACCCCACCCGTTCCCGCCCTTGGAGCCGCGCTTAGCGGAAGATGCGCCGCTGCGTTTTCCGCGTGTTGCGCCAAGAAGAGAAAGAGCCCGCTTTCCGCCAGGAGCCATAGCGCCCATGCTCCTCCGCGGTTTCCGCGTCCCCGCATTGAGCGCAACACTTTTCTTCCGCGCATTCCGTGCTGCCCCGCGTTGGTCATCCGCTCCCTCATGCCCCGCGTCCGCAGTTTTTGTTTCTGCTAATGAGGCGTCCAAGATGTTATTTTGGCGTTAGAATTGCGAGACTGCCTGTAACACGACGCGGCTTCTACAAACTTCCTGGTAACTTCCTGGTTTCGTGCATTCAGCGGCTCGGCAATTCAATAATTGGTTCACGGGCGGAAGCCGAGCCGCTGGCGAACCCAGGACGTGGGCTTGTGACGCCAACGTGGGCTTGTGACGCATTCTCAGGACGTGCATTCAGGACGGGCAGAAGCCTCGCAAGCCCACGTTGGCGAACCTCGAGTTTAGAGACAGGTCGCAGACGGTTTTTTATTACCACCGCTTTTGACCGTCACGCACCAGACCAAACTGTTAGTTGTAATTGAATCCGTATGAATCCCCATCTTGTACGGGGGAAAGTTCATCCCGGTTTGATTGCTTCCCAGTACTGTAGGGAGTGGTGGCTAAGCTGGAGGTTGCTGGAGAACAGCAACTCCCAACCAAGAACTAGATAGAACAATGTCCTTAATGTATAATATATAAAATGTAAGCACACAAGAAAATAAGCAAAAATCATTTGAAATAACAGCCTGTCCGCATTTCCTTACTGCAATTTACATCAGCAAGTAGCTGATTAGTTCTCCACGCATGTGAGTGAACCTCACCCTGATCTGGGGCCCACTCCAATGCTACAGAAAACGGCTCCTCCGGAGACAATCTCCAAGGTGTCTTCTGCGTCCATCCAGGAATTTACGCCTGCTGCAGAGCGTCCACACCATGCAAGATGAAGAACCTTCCCTTGTAAATCCCCGGATGCACAATCTGCGACCACGACAATCCATTGTTACTCTGCCCCAGAGCGAACGCGGTACCTTTGCGCATCGGCAGCGGAACGAAATACTTTTTCAGCCGGCGGCCATCCAGCATGGTCGGAACGCTGCTGCGTTTCTTGATCTCGTTGAACGTGAAATACCCGTCCAGCACATTAATGAGACCCGTTTTCTCGAACTTGACAGCTTGCTTCGCGCTCGGGGCGGCGCCCGTTTTAATCAGCGTGCCGAGCCCGGCCGGTCCGAGCGCCGTGTTCGACGGGAGGAGAATGGTCTTCTGGTCGGCTTGGGATAGGTCCTCATCATCGGGAATGTCGTCTGCGAGCAAGAAGATGGTGGAAGATGCGGGAAAGGGGAGGGGAGGGAGGGGGGGGGGGGGGGGGGGGGGGGGGGGGGGGGGGGGTAAGGGGGGGAAGGTTGTAACTAGTGGATGGGGATATGGGAGACAGGGAAAGGGGAAAAATGAACGAGGGACATTTTTTTGCAATATGGCAATTTTCAACCATGAATGAAAGGAGACCTTTACAGGAGAACCTGTTTTTCGCGTACCCAATTTCGGAAGGGCTTCATCTATGGCGGTGGCGACGAGTGAGTACCGCCCCAGGTACTTCAACTGCGTTATGGCTCTGCGAGCACTCTTAAGCTCGCTGATAAGAGCGGATTTCGTCACCTCCGCTTCCGCTACGCACACGATGAGAGCGAGAAGAGCGCAGACTAAGAAGGGCCGGAGCGACATGGCGATGATGGCGAACGGACAGGGGTGAGAGGGAACGCGAGTCTTGGAGGGCTTTTCAGAAGAATGCGGGTCGTGTGGATACTGACGCTGCGGATGCTACGAGGTTTAGAACCGCTCAACGAGAAGAAAAAGAGACACCAGATTGCTGACTTTCTTTTGAAAAAAAAAAATCCTTTATACAGGCTCCTTCCTGGCTAATGGGCGTCCGCTCAAAAGAAGCACAATACTGGTAAAATTCGCGTGCTTTGGAAGAAAGGGGTTGGACAGCTAGCTGCGAAGTGAAGCCTCTCGAACAGGACTACGATTACCACCGCATAATGCGGCGCATGCAGTGCTTTATGTTTCCCGAGCCGCATGGCATCCGAAAAACGTTTACTTTTTTTGTGCCCGCAGGCACCTGATATGACGGACCATTGGATTGAACAGACCACCCAGGAGTCCCTGAAATGGTATTTCTGCTGCACGTAGAAGAACATGAGTGTGGGAGGGAGTGGATATCGACGCCATTTCTTGGAACCGCTTCACTCGCCACGTCACCACCACATGCTGCCACGCGGAGGGGAGGGTGGGCACGGCAGGGAGAGTGGAGGGAGGGGAGAGGGGAGGGGAGGAAGGGGGAGGGGTGGGAGGAGAGAGAGGGGGAGGGTAACACCTGGAAAGTTGTGACCTGGGATGAGACAGACCGCAGCAGAAGGCTTTGGTTCCCTTCATCTGATCCCCCTGGCGCAACAACAGCAGGCATACGCGTAACATGCGCTTGGCGGCCAGGTGGTCAGCGGAAAGTGCAGTTAGGGCGCGTGTGGTCTTACAAATTTGTGAAAGTTTATGTTTTTAGGTCTAATGTAGCATTTTAACAAAACTCGACTTTCTTTCCAGCGAAGTTCGAATCTTGGGTCTCCAACACAGACGAGTCACAATCACACACCCAAGGTCGAACACAGAGATTCGACCTTTTAGGGATGGCGGCGAGCCGCCTGTAGGGGAGTAGGTTACCTGGTACAGCGCGACACGTTAACGTAATGCGCAACGAAACTCAACGACCTTCGCAAAGCGGTCGCGATTCTCGGATGGCCTTCGTACGTGCTGAAAACAACACACACACTCGCCTCACGTGCACCCGCACGTTCACTCGTGTGATTCGAGTTGAGTTCACATTTGACATTCGAACTTATGTGCCCCAAAATTCTCATGCCTTCGCCAAAGCTTCCTGACGACATTAGCGAAGCTGGTAACCACACAAGGTTCGACCTTTTTCCCGAACTTGAAAATAGATCACACGCGCCCTTAAAGTCGTGGCCCAACTATCAACTTCAACTTCGAAGTATTATAGCTTGGAAGAGGTTGACCCAGGCAATTCAAAGCCGATAAGTTTGTCCTCTTCTGGTTTTCCAGTGTTTTTGTCCAATAGAATTCAAGTTACTCACATGCCATTTTTGTCCTCCTACTGTTCCTAAGAAGTTGCACCCCGCCTTTAAGGCGGGTCCAGCCGGTGTACGTTTTCAGCCGGTGTACAGTTCATTCTGTGCGGTTAATCATCTTGCGTCACGGTGCAAAACGGTGAACCGCTGTGCACCAGCTGGTATCGTTTAATACCACGATGGATGATCTATAAAGAAATTGTAAATGTACGCGCTGGACACGCTCTCGGGCTGTACAGATGTTCCAGGATAGAGGCTCTCGCTGAGAGAGTCCCTTTTCCCCCCTGAGTAGAATTTTCCGATATCGCCTAGGGTTGGCCCGACCCCTATAGTCCCGTTTTTGGCGGGAAATTTTGCAGCTTGACCGAATCATTGTAAGAATCAGCTCCGCAGCCAATCAGAGGCTCCAGATCAAACCAGCCCAACATTCAAGGAAAACAATGAAGAAGGGATCATCGGTTCGATATTTTAGCTTTTTAATTGTAAGTAATTGTTTCTCTTGACCGCGACTAATTCTCAATCCTGTCGTGCTGTCTCCAGCGTGATCGTGTCGAAATATATTTGTCATGTTTTATAACTGCTTGTAGTTGTAGTTAGTGTAGTTATTTAAACTGTTGTTGGTGGTGCACCTTATTTGGTTCCTATGCTATATGTACTTCGAACCCTATAGTGAAACCATCATTCCCCAACTTTCTCTTCAACTCACTCGATACCTCGCCTAGGGCAAAACCTACTCGACACCTAAGTTCGGGCCTAGGCTACTAAGCCTAGGCCCTTCCTTTCAACTTACCTTATATTCTTCACATGGTATCAGAGCTAATTACGTCCTGGCCTGTGGGCCCGCCCTACGCTTCCGCTATGATTTTTCGGTCGCGCGCCTAGGGCGCGTGACGATTTTTACCTTGTCCCGCCCACGGGTGTGTGACTCCTACTCTGCCCGTCGCGCGCCCCGTGGCACGCGACGGTGCCCTTCAACTGCCCATCGTGCGCCCCGTGGCACACGATGGTGCCCTGCTCGTCGTGCGCCCCTAGGCGCACGATCGGGCCCTTTCTCTTCTTCTACCCGTCGTGCGCCCCGTGGCACTGGCACGCGACGGGCCTTTCCGCCCCTGCTCTCCCTGAAGCCGCCCCTGGCCCATCTGCACCGACACCTTTTCTCCGCTCTGTGGCTTTCTTCCCGCCCACCCCCTCCTCCTTTGTCTCCCTGCAGCCGTGGGGAGGAGGGTATGGGGGTGGAGGGTGTTGGAGTGTTGGGTCACCTCTCTCCCTTCCCCTCCTCCTTCTTTCAGTCCCACCGCTGCAGCTGCCGCTGGGGGGGGAGGGTGTGAGGATGTGGGGGAGCAGGGGGAGTGGTACCGGGGTGGCGGGTGTGAGGCAACATGCAGCCGTCCCTCCACCACTCCTCACTTCCCCCCCTTCTCTGCTGCTCTTGCAGCAGTGTGGGGGAGGGGAAGGAGGAGGGTGAGGAGATGGAAGGGGTACCTGCTGTTGCTTGCTATTCTTTTGAATGGCGTAACTACATATCTACCTACAAGCATTATGGGGGCGTGTCGAAATATATTTGTCATGTTTTATAACTGCTTGTAGTTGTAGTTAGTGTAGTTATTTAAACTGTTGTTGGTGGTGCACCTTATTTGGTTCCTATGCTATATGTACTTCGAACCCTATACTGAAACCATCATTCCCCAACTTTCTCTTCAACTCACTCGATACCTCGCCTAGGGCAAAACCTACTCGACACCTAAGTTCGGGCCTAGGCTACTAAGCCTAGGCCCTTCCTTTCAACTTACCTTATATTCTTCACAGATCGACGATGACATCTCATTTATCTCGCTTACAGGGTAGAAACGAAATTTGGGTTGCTATTCGACCCTCAAACCATACTTGATTTCTTTTTTACTGTTAGTCATGCGACATTGATCAGCGTGGAAAACCGTGCGACTAGAAGTTGAAGCAAGCGCGGTCCAAATCTACATAAATGCCAAACTCGAGAAACTAGTAGCGAAACAACCACTCTTTGTCAGATTTATATGACATAGCTGTTGTAGGCTATAGTGGGGTAGCACGTATGGGGTAGAGCTTTCTAGGGTTTGTACTTGTACCCAACTTTCCCTTAGTCATTTCATTCTCGTTTCAGTTTTCTCACTCTTCATGCAATTTTTCTGAACGGGACTATATGTATCGTGTTTTGCCTGGGGTTTGAAGGGTTTGCCACATAGTCCGCGCGCGGCGATGTTGATCCGTCGGACTATAAACGAGAACATCTGTAAATTTTGTTTCTTCACATTCAAGACGCATTCCGAGTTGTTACGAACAGCCAATTTTGTAACAAGCTACCACGTTGCAAAACTGCAAAACAGTGATGTTGTTCTGCGGACGTCAAATTGCAAGAAACTGGGTCCGCAGAATCTTCCCCGATAAGTGGGCTTCTGCCTATCAACATTTGGTGATAAGCGCGTGTCAGAATGAGGAATGATGATCCATTGATGTTGGTTGGGGTACATATAACAAACCCTAACTTCTGTACCCCCTAAGACAAACCTCACTACAGGCTACAACATTTGACACACCCCCATAGCCTAAGTGAGGGGTGTCTAGCAAAATAAAAAGAGTACGGTCACAAGACCAGTCCAAAAGAAAACAAAGCTCAGGGTGGATCACAACGTCACCACACTCTCTGAGCACAAGCAACAGTGGCCACAAGGCCAGTCCAAGAGATCACAAGTATATATAGCAAGAGTACAGACGAAGCAGGCAATAAACTCAAGCCTACACATGACTAGAACCTGTGTCAACAAGGCCTAACTGCACACAACACCTCTGGTGGTCACGAGGCGGAAGCGCCTTGGTGAAGATGTCTGCAGTGTTGGCCTCGGACTCCACAAACACGAAGCGAGCCTGTCCACGTCTCTGCAACTCTCGCAGAAGAAAGTACCTGACGTGAATGTGCTTCACTCTGCTCTCCAGTCGCGGCTCACGACAGAGGAGGATCGACGCCTTGTTGTCAGTGAACAAGGTCGGTGCAGAGCTCGGCCGCTCACCAAGGTCGGCGAGCAAGAAGGTCAACCAACGCAACTCCTGTGCCGCCATGGCACCAGCGTAAATCTCAGCCTCAGCTGTAGAGGTCGAGACAGAAGAGGAGCGCGTGGAACGCCAGGAAACAGCTCCAGAACCCAGACTGAAACAGTACCCCTGAGTAGACCTGTGAGTCTCAGCGTCGTCAGCATAAGAGGAGTCACAGTGACCAGTGAGTACGACAGACTGCTGCCCTCCAAGAACTAGCCCCACGCCTGATGTAGTCGCTAGGTACTTCGCCACCCTCACAGCTGCCGTCCAGTGAACAGGACGGTGTCTCCCTGGCGCAACAAATCGCGCAAGGATGCTGAGAGGGAAGGCGAGGTCCGGGCGAGTACAAGTCATCAGGTACATGAGGCAACCCACAAGCTCTGTGTAGGGACCACTAGGCTCAAACGGCTCGTCAGGAAAGGGACCAGTGAGTCTGTGGTCAACAGCGAGAGGTGTGCGCTGTACGGTGGAGTGCTGAAGCCCGAACCGCTGAAGGACCTGCTGCACCATGTGTGA